CTATGGAAGACATCCTGCCTTGTTCCAGTTCCAAAGAAAACTCGCAAATCAGTCAATGACGACTACAGACTGGTTGCCCTGACATCCCACATCATGAAGGTCCTGGAGAGACTCCTGTTGGTCCACCTGAATAAGCAAACTAGAACATATCAGGACCTGCCGCAGTTTGCTTATCGCCATGGAGTTGGAGTTGAAGATGCCATCATCCAGCTGCTTCAACCCATCCACTGTCATCTGGACAAAGCAGGCAGCACTGTGAGGGTCATGTTCTTTGATTTCTCCAGTGCGTTTAACACAATCCAGCCTGATGTACTTTGCCAGAAACTCCAGAAGACACAGGTGGGGGCCTCAACTATCGCCTGGATTAAAGACTACCTGACAAACAGACCACAGTTTGTGAGACTGAAGAACTGCACATCAAACCAGACGATCAGTAACATTGGAGCACCACAGGGGACTGTACTCTCACCATTCCTTTTCACCCTGTACACCTCAGACTTCCAGTACAAATCAGAGACCTGTCATCTACAGAAATACTCAGATGACTGCAGTTGTCGGGTGTATCAGAGATGGACAGGAAACTGAGTACAGAGAGCTGGTGGAGCGCTATGTAGCATGGTGTGGAAACAATCATCTGACCTTGAACGTGAACAAAACAAAGGAGATGATTTTAGACTTCAGAAGAAACAGGGTGGAGTCAAACACTGTTTCCATCATGGGAGAAGAAGTGGAGGTGGTTGTGGAATACAAATACCTTGGAGTTCACCTGGACAACAGACTGGACTGAAGAAAGAACAGCGAAGCTGTTTACAAGAAGGGACACAGCAGACTGCACTTCTTGAGGACGCTTAGGTCCTTCAATGTCTGTAGCAAGATGCTGCAGATCTTCTACAAGTCTGTTGTTGAGAGTGCAATCTCTTCAGCCATCGTCTGTTGGGGTAGCAGCATCAGAAGCAGGGACCTCAAAAGGCTCAACAGACTAATAACAAAGGCTGGTTCTGTTCTGGGGACGACTGTGGAACCACTGGAGGAGATAATGCAAAGAAGGATTCTACAGAGAATCAAGAAAGAAAATGATGGACAACCCTGAGCATTCTCTTCACAAGACTGTCCGACAACGGAAGAGTGTCTTCAGTCAGAGGCTTCTTCAGTTTCGCTGCAACACTGACCACTACTGGAGATCCTTCCTGCCAACAGCCATTGTAATATACAATAACTCTTTGATGACCTGATTATTATTCTGAGCTACTACAGCAATCAATTTCCCTCTGGGATTAATAAAGTATTTTTGAATTTGAATTTGAATTTGAATTGAATCCTCGCCTCAGCTCCGCTTCACTCAGCAGCGCGTCTGAAACTTTGCACTCAAATTGCAAATCTAAAACACTTTTTTCAAAACACTACACACAATTCTCTGCTGTTGGCACAATTTTCATGCAGATAATATCTTGTTTTCAAAAGGAACACACTGCTATTCAAATATGCACACTCACTCATCACAAGGGCAAACACCTGTCACACTGTTTTACAATTTGCAATCAGAGCTTTAGCATAAAAGGGCAACAGGTGAGCTCTTCTGTTTTGGAGCAATGGATGCCAACATTGGAAACAGAGGCAGAGCCAGAGGAGTGAGAGTGAGGAGGACGGGGAGGACGAGGAAGACCAAGGACCGTAATCTCTGATGAGATCCGAGCCACTTTGGTTGATCATGTGGTCAACCATTGTCTTACAATGAGGGAGGCTGGGCAAAGAGTACAGCCAAATTTGAGCAGGTACACTGTAGCATCCATCATCCAGGCTTTCCGAAATGAGAATAGGTAAGAAATGTTCTCTTACTAGAAAATGGCAGTACTGCATATCAATACAATCAGTATTCAATGAGTATAGCAGTAGTATTGCCTATGGATGGTTTTGTTGGACAGTAAAAATTCTGTAAAGTATGTTTCCAGTATTTAGGAAATGTATACCTACTTTGTATTCACATTATTTTACCATTTGTTTGGCAGAGCTGAAAGATTACCAACACGAGGAGGTCGTCTTCTGTCACCTGAACAGGAAACTGAAATCCTTAACATTGTCCTAGAAAACAATGCCATAACATTACGGCAAATGAAAAGAAAATTTATAGAAAACAACGACATGTTTCAAAATATTGATGGGGTCAGCCTATCAACACTGGACCGTGTCTTGCGCAGAAATCATCTCAGGATGAAGCAGGTCTACAGGGTGCCATTTGAACGAAACTCAGAAAGAGTCAAAGAATTGCGATATAACTATGTGCAAGTGAGTCCCGCAATTGATGCATACACTCAACACTGTGTACAGTAAATTATACATATTTCAATAGTGTAATCATAATGATTGTGCTTCACACTAGTGACCACTCCACGTTTATTTCTGATATTGTCATGTGTGTTTCAGAGAGTCCTTGAGCTAGAGACAGCTGCAGTGGAGCACCAGTTCATCTTCATTGGAGGTTGGATTCAATCTCACAAAAAGACGAAAGAGGGGAAGGAATATCATTGGCCAGCGTGCCATTGTTGAAGTCCCTGGCCAGTGTGGAGGGAACGTCACAATGTGTGCAGCGCTTGGCTACTATGGCATCATCCATCACCATGCTACCCTTGGCCCCTACAACTCCGCCCATCTGACCACATTCCTGGACACCCTACACAACACACTCATTCCACCAGATCAGGTAGATGGCCCAGAACAGCCCAGGTACGTTGTCATTCGGGACAACGTAAGTTTCCACAGGGCTGCTGTGGTTTGTAACTGGTTCCACACGTTTTAGTTGTTTATCTCCCTCCATATTCTCCATTCCTCAATCCCATTGAGGAATTGTTTTCTGCATGGAGATGGAAGGTGTATGACCGACAGCCACAAACCCGTATACCTCTTCTCCAAGCTATGGAGGACGCATGTGGAGATATAGCAGCTGATTCTTTTCATGGCTGGAATCGCCATGCTAGGAGATATTTCCCCCGCTGCTTGGCCAGGGACAACATTGCTTGTGATGTGGATGAGGCGCTGTGGCCAGACCGCAACAGAAGAGAGGATGCAGCATAGTTTTATTGTTTTACTCTAACTGTATACAGTAAATTCTTCTGTTGTATGTAGTTTGTGTGTGTGTGCAACTTTGTGTTGGTTGGGAATGAGATAAACATTGTGTACAATATTTTGTTGGAAAAATAAAATAATTTCTACCATTTATTTGTGTGTTCAGAGTGTAAAAACAATATTCTGAAATAACAACACATGCATGTATTTACTGTCTGTAGTACACTGAACCAAAAAGGCTTTAGTCATTATGATGAATAGAGAAGAAGTGTGTTCCATTCATCATAGTGTTTAACATTGAGCACATGAGTGTTCTGCTGGTTCTTATAAATGTCCATTCATATGATGGTTTGTGTCATTTGACAACAAAATCACATTTTGAGGAGAAATTATTGTTTTGAATGTGAAGTTTAATTCTGCAGGTTAAGTGAGGGGTTTTGCCCATTGTGTGTGTATTTTCTGGATTTGTGTGTAGAGTTCTGAAAATATGGGGCATGCTTTCAGAAAATGTGTATAAACAATTGAGAAATACTGTAATTTAGGCCCTGTCCACACGTAGCCGGGGATCTGCCAAAACGTAGATATTTTTCTACGTTTTCGCCGGTCATCCACACGAAAACGGATCTTTTTAAAAACTCCGGCCAAAGTGAAGATATGCGTTTTCTCCGTTTTGGGTGTCTGCGTGTGGACAGACAGAACCGGAGTTTTAAGGTCCGCAACGTCACTTTCCGCGACAAAAAATGCTGACATCACGTGTGCGACCTGTGTTTACACTAGCCGGCATCATGGAAGCCCTCCGGGCTGCGCTCTGTCACTACCCGATCCATCAATTGTCCAAGCGCTTTCTGCTTATTTGTTTTTGCAAGCGGAATTACTGCTCCTTGCTGATGAGCACAGACGAAGGACGAGGTTAAGAACGGGGGAAGTACTGCCGCCTACAGGTCGTGCATGTCCTTAACAACGTATTTATCCGGGTACGTGTGGACAGGTTTTTTTTTTTTAAACGCGGTGGTGTGGATGCGAGTTTTTGGAGGATATTCGTTTTAAAAAAAACCCGGCTACGTGTGGACTAGGCCTTAATCTCTTATTCTGGAGTAAAATAAAGAAACAAGCTAAATCATCACATATCTGTTTCTGGTAGGGAAACACATTTCAAACATGGAACTGAGTCCGGCTACCGAACCGAGCAGAATTCTGATGACGTAACACCGGTGTGCAAAGGTGCGGGTTCCAACCCACAGGAGAGGAGGGAGAGAGGAGGTAAACAGCGAGTGGATCACAGGGACTGAGCTGATGTTTTAGAGCAAAACTGCAGTAAAAATGGCTGTTTGTCCTCATTATCTAAAGTGTACCCCCCCCCCCCCACCACCACCACCACGGATCAGACGCGGCGGTCATGCAATATTTTTGATTCATTAAGCTACAATTTATTTTTACTCAGTAATGGATATGATTTAAAATGTAGTGAATTACAATTCTTTAAAAAAACAATCAAGTAAAAGTAAAAGTACAGATTTTCAAAACGACTTAAAAAGTATTAATACACAAAAAAAGCTACTCAATTACAGTAACGTGAGTAAATTTAATTTGTTACTTTCCTCCTCTGCTCACTTGTAAACGAGATGCTTCATCTCAAGTGGTTTTATCCTCCTTAAATATAAGTCAAGAAACAAATTTTTAAAAAAATATGCGCATATTTAATCGATAACAAAGCAAATTTAGATTGGGGGGGGGGGGGGGGGAGAACCTGGAGGAGCTGCAGACAAGACCATAAGGGAGATGACACTGCTGTGTTCTATATGACATCATCAAAGACTCATCAGTCAGTAGTAGACTCCACAGCTCACTGTTAACACACGTGTGACACAGCTCTCGTGAGAATCATCGCGTTTTTGACTTTCTCTCTCAAACACAAGAATATTTAACACAAAGACCCAGAAATGCCTGGAAACAACGTCTCTAGTGAAACAAAACTGTCTTGGTATGAGACGTGCCTCGAAGATCCAGAAGTGGATTACAATCTGAAAATAAATTTTGATTCTGACGGAGACGACAAAGAAAGCTCCGAACATGATTTGAAACCACTAGAAAAAACTCCTGGATCTGGAAAAGTCCAGCAGGAATCAGCTGCTTGTGAAAAACATGAAAACATGGAACAACTTTTAAGGCAGGTGAGTGAACTCAAAAACCATCTGAGACGTGCAAACGAGTCTCTGAGAACCGAGAAGAAAATCAGAATTAAGGCCGAGTCTGAGTGTGCTTTTTACAGGAGAGAAATGAATGAACTGGAACAAGGACTGGATTATTACCAGAGCAAAAGAGAGACCCATGAAGAAAACGTGAGAACTTTAAATATTCAACTTAAGGAAAAAGATGATTTATGCGAAGTTCTCCAAAAGCGTTTAAAACAGGAATATCAGATCAGACTCCACCAAAGACTGAAGATTTTTGAGAAAGACACAAGTAATGAGAACTTAAAGAAAGAAATCAGTAAACTGAAAGAGGGACTGGGTTTCCATCAAAGTGAGGCAGAAACCCAGTGCAAAAGAATTATGGCTTTAGAAATTCAGCTGCAGATAAAGGAAGGTGTCTGTGCAGATCTCCAAAAGCGTTTAGAGGACGAGCCCGAGCTCAGGAGCCAGCTAGAAGACGACCAGAACTGTTTCTACAAAGATTTAATCAATCAGAATGTCAAGAAGCAAATTGGGGAATTAGAGAAAGAAAACACAGATCTTAAAACCAAGATGGAGAATTTTTACTCCATGAAGAAGACATTGGATGAGGTGTCTGCACAGCTGGAGGAGAAATCTTCTCTCTGTGTAAAACTGGAAGAATGTTTTAACAAAGAAAAGCAGCTGAGAGTCGAGTTAGAGAAAAAACGGCAGAAAAAATACACCAGTAAGGAGAAGTTACTGATAGAAATTAATGAATTAGAGCAGGGACTGGATTATTATCAGGATGTCGCAGAAACCAGACTAAACAGACTGCAGACTTTAGAGAATGAGCTGCAGAAAAAGGAAGGTCTCTGTGAAGATCTGCAGGAACGTTTAAACCAGCAGAGCCTGCAGTTAGAGCAAGAATTACAGAACAGTCACAACAAAGACTCAGTTCATCAGAGTTTAGAAAAAGAAATTGGAGATCTGCAGAAGAAGAATGGAGACCTCATGAGCAAGTTGCAGACTATGGAGGACACAGAGACCAGACTCTATGGGGCAATCACAAACCTTCAGCTGGAGAAACTCAGAATTAATGAGCAGCATGAAGAAGAGTTTGAAGCCCTGAGACTGCAGCTCCAAGACCGTCTCTGCTCTGAGCTCCAGGCTGCTTCTGAAGGGAGTTCACCAGAACCACACACACCTGTGGAGAGTCTGGAGACAGATCCTACTCAGGATTGTCAGACGGACACAGACACTTGTCCTCCGACTGAAATCTGTCATGAGTCAGATATGGTTGGATCTGTAAGTCTCCATGACGACGACTGTCCACCTAAAGAGGACCGTCCACAGACAGTCAGACACCAGAAGAGTGTTTCTATGTGGAGACGCTTTAAAAAGTTTATGACTCCGGCGTGTCGACGGAAACACAAAACCACGTCATAAACAGATCATGTGACTGTTTCAAACCCCCCCCACGCACACACACACACACACAAAACACACACACATAAAACACACACAGCCAGAGGAAAAAAACGGGGCTGCATGTTGGAGACGATGTAGAAAGTTTAGCTTCACAGCGAGGTCACCGGTTCAAATCCTTTCCATGTGAAGTTAGCATTTTCTCCCTCATGTATGCGTGGGTTTTCTCCGGGTGCTCCGGTTCCTCCCACACGTCTCTGGCTGTGAGTGAGTGAGTGAGTGAGTGAGTGAGTGAGTGAGTGAGTGAGTTAGGGCTGGGCGATATCACCCAAAGTCAATAGAACAGTATAAAGAGGATTTCACCTAGATAACGATACATGGACGATAGCTACAGGCATGCGCAGAAACAAAAGTCGTCACATGTATTACGCTGAGTCAATGGCCGTGTTCGAGTTGAGCCGCGCCTCGCCTGGAAAAGAGACGAGAGCAGACGGACGCAGCAGGGGGAGTGGCTGAAAGCCGGCGTTTAAGTGGGACAGATTTCCCTACATGTGTAGCTCGCGGGTGACGATGGGTGAAGACATCGCGTTAGAATTCATACTTGTTAAATTTTTTATTTTAATTCTGGTGCCTGTTAGCAGCTGAAACACATCCTCACATGCTTGTGGATATCATATGTTGTAGACATGTGCACATGAAGACATAACTGTTGTCAAAAGTAAAGCTTATCAGCTGTAGTTTTAGTGTGCTCATAGGAAACGTGACAAAAAAAGACAAAACACATGTGACCAACTAACATTTCGCATTCTTCCACCGGATGTTTGGATCAAGATGGGAACCAATCAGATCTTAGATCAGGTGAGAGCCAGGCGTCTCCCATCATCAACCGGTGGAGAGCAACTGCAGAATTTTGCTCCAAAATCTGCGGCCGCCTTGATCTCACGATGCCTACGTAGGCATGCCGTAAGAGCAAGTCGGACACAAATCTAACCGGCATGCACTGCCCGCCGATCACCGGTGATCTAATCTGCGCGGAACTGGCTCATCTCGAACACGGCCATTTTTACGTGACTCAAAGTTTCTTAAAGGGACATGAACGTTGCCAACCACCACACATATTTTCTTTTTTTAATGATAAAATTTATTGACATGGCAAAATTATCTCAATAAGAGTCAGACATTTTGATTACAATGCATGTTATAGGCACAATTTAATCAATTATAGGTACAGCTTAAATTTGTAAAGTGACTTACATATTTCTGTTATTGTATTTTAAAAATAATAGGCCAAAAATATAGTTTTTACAATATTTTAATGTAATCTTGCCAGAATTGTTGTGTTAAAAGGATTACATTGTTTTGCTTTATTTTTTACCTTTATTTGTTGTTTTAACAAATAGATATAGTTATTTTCACATAATGCTAATGTAAATATAACATAAACATATTGTTTAATCATTTCCAAACATTTACTGTGATTACAACAGAAAATACATGTTTTCCAGTTTACATTACATTTCTGTTGTGCATTTACAGAGTTTTTATGTAAATTTCACAGTCATTTTTTACTGTGTATTTATTGCCCAGCCCTAAAGTGAGTGAGTGAGTGAGTGAGTGAGTGAGTGAGTGAGTGAGTGAGTGCATCCCATCCGCTGAATCACCACCTTAACGCGGTGGCTGGGTTTGTGCATCTCTATGAAGGCTGAAGGCCGTTGTGTCGGGGTCTCGGCTCCAGGTGAGTCTACCCTGGCAGAGCTTTCTCAGCTGAGAGGTCAGACTAAGAGTGATTCAAAGACTTATTTTATAGAAAACCATGAAAAGATGCTTTTGTCACACTTCACACCCACTTAGGTGTTGGCATGCACAGTTTTCCTGGGGCTTTTTAGTGATTGTGCTGCAGAGAAATCAATAATTATCAAAAAACATTGAATCGTTTCTCATTTCATCATTTCATCATTTTAATCGTGATCTCAATTTCAAATGACAAAGATTTTAAGCAGCTGACTAGATAAAAAAGGACTGTGTTCTCTGTTCTGGTCCTGCCATGGTCATCAACAATCATTAGTGGTGTGCATCTCTACCTGCCTCACGATTCGATCCGATTCCGATTATCTGCCTAACGATTTGATTTGAGTCTGAAATGCATCACGATTCTTCACACAAAAAATTTCATTACTTAATAAAAGCAGTAGAATAGTTTTCAATTTCTTTTTGATTTCGAAATCCCTGAAAAACAGAACATTCATTTATTCACTACAGTGAGCAATAATGTTTAAAGTGTGCTGCCTATAATTACTTAAATAATATAAGAAATAATGTTTTTGGTAGAGCAGCTTTAAGATAGAATATTACTGAACTTAAAAATAGTAAACAAATACTGTGTTAAGTGATTCTTTCACATCCAGGATCCCAAAACTGAAATTAGCCCAGACATCCGATTTAAATGTAACGGGTACATCTTTGATTACTGGTAATGTTGGCCCTGTCCGCCTTTTCTGTTTTAAATTGGCGCTAGGGCAACGCAGTGCGCATGTCAGTGCAACTCTGCCCCCAGAAGTAATTGTAAAACCTCAAAACTTTATTGTCCTGCATGGACATAGACCAGGGGTCGGCAACCTGTTCCCATCAAAGAGCCATTGTTACCTGTTTCCCACAGTAAAGAAAACACTGGGAGCCACAGCAGCCGCGGCGTTGTGGGCGGGGCCTACCCTCAGACAGCAGAGAGCTGCTCACAACAGGTGACAGCAGCCAGTACCGGTCGCTCGTGTACGTCAAAGTTATCTTTCATAAGACGATAATCAATAAAATGATTTATATAAAATGGAGCCAGAAGTTGTAGCCCGTCTCTGCCTACAATATGTTGATATTTTTCTCCCTGTTGGTGGTTTTACTGAGCAGGTGCCACTTTTGTCATACGTTTCTTTTTAAAACATGTTTAGACTGTTCAGAATACAAATCCAGACTCTGTCACGTTTCATTGTTGTTATTAAACTTTGTAGGTGGGGAAGGTCAGAAAAGGATCCGATAATTTTGTTTTTCCCTCATTTACAGTGAGGGAGACAACGGCGCAGTGCGCCTGGCTCTGGTGTTAATCAAGTTAAATTATATCTCTTTGCAACAATTTTCACAAGAAAACAGAACAGTTAAAAGCAGGGCTTGTGTTGACCGGACAGTTCCCGTATTTGACCGTTTATTTTGACGGAGAAAGAATAGAAAGAATTACCCTGACGCATGCAGACGAACTGACTTTATTCGTTTTGTACATCGCAGATGTAGCTAAATCATTCAAGAAAAGATTCCCATCTGAACATCTGAGCTGGACACTGCTCAGCACAGCTCACTGTCAGCGTGTACTACATAAGGTCCTCAGCGAGCTGAAGATGTGGAGAGGGGCTTGGAGCACATCGCAGAACCAGAGCGCATGCAGGAAGATTCCTCCGACTGAAGCGAGACTTGTCACTTAGAAAATGTTCCCTGATTATGAAACTTTGGCTGAATAGCGCTTGTTCCTGTCTCCAATGTGGCGACGCTTCCAGGAGCCGTCTGAGGAGAATCCCAGAATTTCACATCCTCGTCAGCTCAGAATGCGCTGATAGGATTACTCACAAGCGTGACGCGTCAACCCGGTCTCACAGTAAGATCGGGTTGTAACTGTTCAGATTTACGCAGACAATCTTTACATTTAGAATTGGCATACAGATATAAAATTAATGCAGTAAAATATAAAGTATTTTATTTAAATATCCATTCATTATTTTACAAGCACAGAGAGCCACATCAGATGGATGGAAGAGCCGCATGCGGCTCCAGAGCCGCGGGTTGCCGACCCCTGACATAGACATAGGGAGAAAATCTCATTATGTCACGTTGCTGCATCAATGCGGAATCATGCACGGCTGAATCGTGTTGCATCTTAGAATCGATCATTTTTCCCACCTCTAACAATCATGTTGTCATTTTAAATGTTATATTTAGTTAAAAACCGTGGTTTGCATTTTAAGAAACATGCCTATTACAAACCTCTCTCGTCATCAGTGTTTAACTTATTCAAAAGTTGTGTACTTAACCCTCATTTACTTTAACCCTCTCAGGCTCAAAATAAGTTTGATAAAAGGACGAACAACTAAGTCCTTCAGGGGTACTTCTGAGTAAAAAATGCTCACAAAATACATATGTGGAGTAACTAGGTAGGTAGGTTGTAACACCTGCCTCCAGAGGGTTAAGAGACGATGAGAGACATTTATTGTTTTCATGTTCAGCGACAGCTGTTGTAAAGTTGATGTGCATGTAATCAGTGCAATAAACACTTAATCTGGAAAAAATCATGAAAGAGTTGAGATCTCACTTCTAAGCAAAATCCTGATTCTCATTTTAACCAGAATTGTGCAGCCCTAGTATGCGCATGTCTCAATCTGCCTAGCCAGCTAAAACTCTGACGTACGTGACGCCAATTACTCTTCTCCACCAGAGAAAATGATCTCTTGATTGGAAGTGTGCATCCCCACAAATGTTACATAGTATCTTGATTTTAGGCCTCTATAGCCTCATTCTTGTGCTGGCGGGCAGGTCCCCTTTCACTGTTCTGGAAGGTGATGGACTCGGGTTCACTTTTTTGCAAGAAAGGTGAGCTGGTTCCACAGGCCGATACAGGGCACTTTATATATATATATATATATATATATATATATATATATATATATATATATATATATATATATATATATATATATATATATGTTGCAAGTCCCAGCAGCCGGTCAAGGCTTAGAAACAGTGGTCAGAGACAAGGGTCACACAAGGGTCAAGAGGACAATAGTTCAGGACTTGCTGGTGAGGACAGAACTAGGCAAAGGGTCAAAAGACAGGCTGGCTTCTCTGGATCCACCCATGGGTCCACCCATGGGCCCACCCCTAACTCCACCTCTGGCGGGAAAAGAAGGACTGGAATGGAGTGAGGACAGTCCATCTGGACCCAGAAGTTCTCAGGAATGCTGAAGGAAGATCTACAATTTGCTACCAAC